TGAAAGGGACAAGATGTGAAACTGTCAGTCTTGCCGCAGGAAGTTAGTAGCTGCTGAACCCAATTCCTGCTGGCCATCTTTTACAGTCTTTCTTCTTCAGGGCGAAGTTGGCGCATCCAGGAGAAAGTGGCCCTGAGTAGGTGTACCTTCATAAGGAATTCAACTGGAGTTTTTGCAACGTCGCCATTCTCCGACCAGAGGGAGCGCAATAGATCCCTGTGTGGCTCAGCTACGTGCATTTGATAAAACATGGACTCAAAGTCATTCATTTTTGAAACGGGCTCTTGACGAAATCTGCTTTAGGACACCTGTGAGAGTTAGTCAAATCAGGGCCTTGTAAAAGGCGTTTGTTCAAAGACCCCTTTGGATTCTGCAGCACAGTCGAACGCCACGTGGATTTTAGATGGCTTTTTTGGATGATATACCCCATGATGAGGTATATACCAAACATTATGTTCCTCAGTGAACGCCTTCCATGATAGTCACATAGTCTTCACAATACCTCTTGTCAGCAAGGAATCTTCTCTTCAGCTTTAATAAGCGTCTTAAAACCAAGTCTTGATTGTTAGGGAGCTGGACATTGGGGTTCTTAAGGGGTAATGGCAGCTCATAGTGACTGTTCTCCAACTGCATGATTCCATTCCTTGCAGTGACGAGGAATTTTCTGTCTTCTTTGGAAAGTCCTCGTCTAAAGTCTTGTTCGAACACTTTCACTTCAGCATCGTTGTGCATATCTTCTGATGTACTGACGGAGTAGTACCTTGCCCCATACACATCCACTACAGATCAGAGATTTGACTGGTTTGAAGGTGAATTCCTAACATACCTGAAAGAGTGGAAGCAGAGTACCCTGAACCGACCAGGCAATTTCACTGCAAATGCCAGGAGCAGAATGTTCCTGTCTTGGCAAACATTTGAAGGGATGCAGATAACAAGCCACTCCGTTGTTGAGGCTACTAAGTTCCTACTTCAAGAAGGAGTGGAACATGTTTTGACAGAGCGATTTTGTCAAGATCCAATTGAAGAATATTTTGGAAGTCAGCGAAAGATCGGAAGAAGAAATGACAACCCAGACATTCGAATGTTTGGTTATAATGACAACACCATTCGAATCCAGCATTCTNGTGCTTTTACGGTTTGCCGGCTTTGGTCGGCTGGCACTGTTCAAAAGGAACGCGTAAAAATATTGGCGCTCTTTCTTGCCATCCTTCGCACAACTTTTGAAGATCAAAATGGTGCTATCAGAGCATTCAGGTTTTGACGAATGGAAGCCCGTGGACACGTTGCGAAGATCGCCATGAACATCACCCTGACTGTCAGAAAAAAGCATTATTCTTGGTTTGAATGGGTGAAATTCCGGTAAAGAGGAATGCTTGTCTGCTTGATGGAGCTAGCGGTGTAGCATAAGAAGTACAAGCGGCAGGATGGGAATAAACATGTGAAGTTTCCGTAGAGAACCGAAGACTTTTTGCAGCACTCACTGCGTTTTGCGGCATCCTAAGGAAACCAAGAAACAACAACTGTCCCTAACCACGCGAAATGGCTGCCAGTAAACTTAAAATATCTACAATATTAAGCGAAAAACACCAAAAACAAAAGCATCAGATTCTTACTTGAACACTGTAGTTAGCACGATGCTAAAAAGAGACAGGCAGATTATCAGGGCTGAAAAGTTATTTGAAGGCTTATTCAACCTTCAAAGTAGACATTTCACATCTTTGCAAACGACAGTGAAGGCGCTTTTCAAAAAGCGAATTTCATTGAAAATCTTTGCGTTCCACGGTAAGTTTGGTACCAAACTAGAGCTTAGAAAGTGGTAAATCGGCGGGAAGCAATCTCATGTCTTCAACTGAATTATGGGTGGAACAAAGATCCTTTTTATTTGGTCCCAAGCCCCAGTGGATTACACGCAGTCGAATTTTTTTCCCATCAATTCTTGTGGCACAATTTCAGCCCGCGTTTGCCCGACGTGTGTTGCTGAAGATTGTGCGGTCTCTTCTATGGTTTGGATTCTTTCATTGTATGGGCACTTGGCCTCAAGAGTAGTTTCATGCTCAACGATCCCATCAGGGGAAGCACCAAGAATATCGGAGGAGTGAAAACAAATTCCAGTTTCCTTAAGCGTTTTCCCTGTCTTCAAGATGTGAAGGCCTTGATAGCTGCTTCTTCATTGTTAACTCCCCATTGTACTGCTTTCACTCTCTAGAGGTCATATTCGTAAAGAGGGCGTTTCAGAAGTGAGGTGTTTGACTTTCGGAATACTACCAAAGTTTCTGGCAGCAAGACAGCCCCTCCTTGCCAAATGCCAGGCATGGTTGTCATGCTGGACAACAGTGCTCGTACAGATTTTCAAGATGTCTTCATCAAGTATTCTGGATTTCTGGATCGTCGAACTAAACAGTCCAGTTGTTGTTGAAGCCCTCCAGTTTGGAGAAACTATTTTGAAAATGTTACATCTTCTATTGTTGGAATTGGTAGTTTACTAACAGGAGATGGCTCTGGGCTGTGCAGCCATCCATTATAATCGGAAAAATCTACCAATAAGCATTCCGTGTATTTTACACCTACGGAGAAGTCAAAGTGATAGCTTAAAGTTGTTAAACTGTTTTTAATGTTATTAGTAATCATTTTAATTTCAACTTTAACAAAAGCTATATCACTACTAAAAGTGTGTTACAGAGCTGTAATCGGATGAAAAAACTCAATACAGTGTTCTTTTACAAACTCAACTGTGTCTCTGAGTAATGAAATCCCTCGCAAACATAATATGAACTGGCAAGTCTTTGTCTCCTCGACTAAAATTTTCTCCCTTAAACAGCACACTAAGTGCTTCAAACACAAAGTACTACCAGCAAAGGGCTCATGTTCTTTCGCAAGAAAACGAACATGTCAACATTACTAGGGCTCCTGCGAGCCCTCTTTTTGCTTACAAGATTTTCTGCCAGGCTAATAGCCCTTTCTGAGGGTACTGATGAGGCTGGTATGGCAAGATATTTTCTGGTAAGATTACCCATATGTGGAAAGAACAGCTGGTTTTTCTTCCACCACAGTGAAAGCGTCTGCTCTTGGTCCATAGGAGTAGAGTGCAGATATCGACTGACTTCGTTTGCCACAACATGTTGACTTGATATCACACTCTCCCCCATGCACATAATACCTTGCAGCCAGTCATCTATGTCAGCTGATCGTGCTTTCTTAGGTGAGGTTGGCTCACTAGGCTCATTAAGGTCGT